AGTTAAAAATAGCTGTCTAAAGTTAGTTGGTTGCAGAAAAATAAATCTAATCTAAATACTACTAATAAAATGCAATTAACCATATAATCATCCATAGTTGTTTAGGAAACCAAAATCAGCTTTTAAAAGTTAGAACATAACATTTGCAATATCTTATGATATTTTAGCTCAAATTCATCTGCCATTTTGGTAATATGGTTCATACTATTGCAATATTTGGCCTAGTGTTTGTTGTATAATCCTGGCAATCTACTGTTGTTAATGCATTTAAAAATTGTCAGTTGTCCTATTCAGCCTGTAATGTTAGTAAATTTGCATATTGCTGGGCCTAATGTATGTCATTTCGGTTCTGTGTTGGGTCACCACTTGATGTCCATTGTAAAATCTGAGTTTGAAGCAGGACCAATTGAAACAAAAGTAGTTGAAACTGAAGCATGAGTGTTATATGAATTGCAAATGTCAAAAAACATCATCATCTGAGGGCCAGCTCCACTGCAGTTTGTACATATATTTCTCTCCAATAAGTGTTTACCAGACATAGTGCAATTTACTTTTTATCAACAAGCATCCTGCTGGGGGAAGCAACCTAGTACATTTTCTCTGGAATCTTATGAGCCCTGTTCTTGTATTGGATGCTGAGGACCGCCTGAAAGACCCTATTTGTCTCCCTAATCTTACACGAAATAACATTTGCATCAGCCAGCTGCCTGTAATAAAGGCTGGCAGTTATGAGGCCTGCTTCCATGCATTACCATTAATCACAATTAAATAGAGCTTAGCGCTTGTCACATGAATATTTACAGTGTGGCCGGGGCCGTCTTGCACTGTAAATTCATAAATCATTTGGCCAGATTATGGAATTTATGGCTGTTTTATTATTCATGATCTGCCTTTTATGTGGTGTTATATTTATTTCCCTCTCCACCGGACGGGCACGTTGAGCTGGGTTTAGTGGGCTGTCCATCACACCTGTCACACACACATCTGGGCTGTCACAGACACACACCTACAGGGACAGCACATTTGGGTATCTCTTGCACGCAAGTTTTCTGTCCACCACAGCATGTCGGAGAAGCAAATTCGATTTTTCTGCCATAAAATGAGCGTGTGTGTGTTTGGCTGGCTCCTAAAATAACCGAATATGTCCTCTGCGGTTTCATGTCGTCGAGAGCTCCCTCCGGAGGCCGGGCCCAAAATGTTTAGAGGATTCACACCGCTCCAGTAGGACATGTGACAAGATGAATTCCACTGCATGGCATCACTTCCCCGCCAGCTTTCCCTTTATATCCAACAAAAAGCAGCAGGTGGCTTATATGTATTCTTATAAGAGAGACTGTGAAGTCACCATCCGCCCCCTCCTTTTCTCACTCACGTCGGGACAAGTTACTGAGAAAGCAAGTGGAAGATCAGAATAAAAGATTTGGCATCTGAAACTGTTAATTGAAAACCGCTCATTTTTTATACTCACCTTTATTCTTGGAGTAACTGACACACTTATGGCAGAGATTTGCCTGAGCTTGATTCCCGTGATTAACAGCTGATTCAGCCATTGACCTGTGCTGTGCACAGCTTTGGTCTGAGCCCAGCCAATCATAGCTTAAGTGGACCATGTGTTCAGGGTCAAGACAGACCGGGCCCAGCGGCCGAGAGGCCACCAGCTGCCTTCAGCTGGAGAGCCAGCCAGAGAGAGAGCCTGCTCTGTGTCCTTAATGAATGCCTTATAGCAGGTAACGCCTAGCTTACAATAGTGAATTTATAATCTTGCTGAACAAATCTTTTGCTTTTTTTGTCATTATAAATTATGTGTTCTGTATGGAAATTAGGAGGATTTTGGAAAGAAGATTTGGCAAATGTATTAGTCCTGTTTTGTTATTGTGTATACCCACTGATGTGATTCATAATGTGCATAAGAGGAGTTACGGAGTATGAGTGTGTTTGTGTGTTCAGGAACCAACCGGCAGGGTGTCAAAAACATAACAGCAGTCCTAAGTAATATTTTGCACGCAAACTGATCCATGCCATCTTCATCTCCAGTAGCAAGTTTTCCAATATTTCAGATGCTTATGTGTATGTGGAGGACAGACATCATGGTTGTTGATATTACAGTCACTCCTGTCTCCCATTGGATGGACATACTTTCTTTTCCTATACTGTTCAGCACTACATCTCTTCTCTGTGAACTTTAATAAAAAACTGTATTCCCCTGATCTGTACGTCTGGACTCCAAATAATGAAACATATCGATCTGCGAAATGCATCTCGCTCGAGTCAATAGTCACACTGCAGCTGGAAGGGAATAAAGGCAGACATGGTCAAAAACGCAAGCGGAGAGACAGACAGAGAGAGAGAGTGCACCATCTAGTGGTTATAAAACAAACACATGACCGATAATAGACAGTTTGGTGGATAAATTCAGCATAATAGAAATGCACATTTGAGTCTGTGAAGATAGATAGACATAGAGATAGATAGATAGATAGATAGATAGATAGATAGATAGACAGACAGACAGACAGATAGACATAGATAGATAGATAGATAGATAGATAGATAGATAGATAGATAGATAGATAGATAGATAGATAGATAGATGATAATTACATTTAAAGATTCCAGAAGTTTTAAAAAGTGTATTGTTAGTGTATTTTGTAAAATGTATGTTATTTATAAACTAAAAGAAAAATAAATGTCTTGATTGAAAGGAAGTTTGCTGTGGCCCCCTAGTGGGTCACCTGGTTGAGAACCACTGCCATAAACTGTTAAAAAATAATAATAATAGTAAATTATTTTTTACCAGCTTTACAGCTCAAATACACACTAGTTCTAAAAGAAAAATGAATGTAAGTGCATTATTATAAGATTCAAATTTCTGCTTTCATTTACTTCTATTGCAGTGCCTGACCATAAACATTTAGTTTTTGTTGTGGTTGCTTTTTTTTTGGATTGAGCCTAACTTGTATTGAACCTTGAGTGTTCCTTTAATACTGATGTTCCTTTACAAAAATGGATGTGATATTGGTGTGATATGTGGCAGATTTAAGAATTATACAGAATTTTACTTTGCTAAATAACAATTGTTTAGTAGAAATATACCTTTATAGATATTCACCATATGTGATTATTGAAAAGATGGAAAGAGAAGTGAAAGACAGGATAAGGAGGAGTGTGGCATGTGTGGGTGTACTCACGCGAGCTCACATAACTGCGTGTGTGTTTCTGCATCTGAATGCAAGCACTCTTTTGTGCTGTCTGAATATTTCTCATCCCTCCTCTCTGGAGAGTGTGCTCTGGCATGGCCCTTAGTGGATAACAGACTGTTGTCGTGAATGGGCTGTATAGCCACTGCCTCTGCTTGTGTAGCAAACTACCTCATGGCCTTGTACTCTTACAACCGTCTACTTTTGTTCTAGTTCCTCTTCAGCCCATCCCTCCCCTGCACAGATGCAGTGCCCACACACTCTCTGTCCCTGAGAGCTTGAAAGAAAAAAAGTGCTTCTTTTGATGCACAAGTTTTAATTGTACCCTGAAACTCAGGTGTTCAAGTTTTATGCCAGTTCCATGAATGAGTGTGCTGTCACTTATGTAAATGCAAAGATTATGTAAATGTGCGTGTAATCACACTCTAACTTTCAAGATATTAGTAAAATATATTATTTCGAAATAAAACAATACAATTTGAAATAAGTCACAAGCTACTCACAAACAACATCTCAGACATTCATTATATGGACAAAAAACAGTGACAGTTATATTAAGTAATAATTATGAGATAAAAATACAAAACTGACATACTAAATCATACATATGACATAAAAGGTAGAAATTATGACATTTTAAGTCAGTTATGAGCTAAACATTTGAAACTGACATTAAATCAAAATTCCGAGTCAATTTGTTTGTCTTAATTGACTTTGTATCTCATAATTTTGTCTTTGTATCTCATAATTTTGACTTTGTATGTCATAATTTCAACTTTATATCTTATAGTTATTACTTAATATGTCAAAATTTCAACAACTTTAATAATTATGAAGTTTATGTCATATGATTTACCAAAGCATGTGGTGGAAATGAGCTTTCATATGAGGATGGGTGAACTATCCATTTAATAATTAGTAAGTTTATATAGAATAGGGGCCCAGAACATTCCTTCCTCTTCTCAAGGCCACAAGGCCATCAGGTCTTTTGAGAGATGAAGAAACTGCAGCTGCAAAACTTGTTATGAGAAGCAAGGAAAAGATGGGAGGCAGAGAGCAGCTAATAAAGCACAGAAGGAACAAATGCTAAAGGAACATTTCATATACTACAGTAAAGAAAAAACTTTTTAATCACATGATTGTGTATAAAAATAAGAAGGCTGATAATGATAAAGAATAATATAAGGGCGCAATTGTGTCAGTTCTCCACTTTAATTATAAAATAATGAATTACTATTTTATCATTTCTTTAGAATATTATGAATAAAATTTAGAATTTAAATAAAAAGAAGAAATTGCCTTTGAATTTGATCAATTAAATCCTCTGCTTCGTTGGTAGTAACCGTTGCGTTGGGGTTTTTAAAAAAAAATGTTTTATCATTTTTCCCATTTGTGAAGTGATGGAAATAATAATAAGAGCCATTATTAATCACCGAGTACCTATAATAATTGAGCATATTAATAATCAGCATATGGCTGCTGAAAATTCAACTTTGCTGAAGTCACAGGAATGAATTCATCACAGGAATGATTTACATTCTAAAATATACTCAAATAAAAAAGAAAAAGTTATTTTAAATAACTAAATAATAATATTTTATAATAATACAGTTTTGTCAAATAAATGAAGCCTTTATGAGCATTAAAAAAAAACATAATTATTACAAACGTCTGACCGGTAGTGTAAATCTGAATTCATCAATTGTACTGTTTCTAAGTATTTGCAGCATCTAATGATCATGCTATCCAGCGTGATTTCACAATACTATTTTTATTTTCACTGTAGTGTGGTACGTTGGCGTAAACAACGGTTGCCCCGTGCAACAGACTCTTATCTGTAATCAAAGCGATGACATCTCAGCAAACGTCGTCGTCTGTTGATGACGCGCGCGGGGTTTTCCGGGTGCGACGGTTTGAGATGTAGGCTAGCAGGCTAACCGAGAGTAACGTCAAAACACAGATACTACAGAAGAGTCAGAGGGCGGGAAGCGAACATGAAGGAGGTAAACGATTCATTTTACAAGGGGTGTTTCTGAAAGTGAAGTCGCCGTGATCTACATAGATTGATATAGCTAAAAATATAATGTCAACAACGCGGCCCCTCCTCGGGATGAAGCGAATCACCGAGGTAACCTGCACAGAGCCGCCGGGAGGCAGGCAGTCCCCGACCGCCAGCAGAACGCAGTCCGAGCCGCTCACCGTAGACGAGTTCACGGTACACGAGGACAAGCAAGCAGAGCTCAGATGCAGCAAACCGAAGGTCGAACAGGTTTTCCAAGTGACATTCACCATTATTGGGCTCTTGGATCACACAGGAGCCCACGGAAGTAAGGCTTCCAGACAGATCTGGCTCCAGCTGAAGGGAAAAAAGGAGGATGTGTCTAAAGCGAAGGTAAATGAAAGTAAATAGTAAAAAAACTAGTTTTATCTTAAACAATGTTGCTGCTTGTTTTTTGACTGTCAGAAGGAACATTGACGAACTTAACGTAACTTAAGTTGCAACGTTATAGCTGGAGGAAGCTGATGTCAGAATGAACTCAGCTGCGTCTGACAGCAGCATGCTTGTCTTTATTTGACATTTAAACAAAGGCCTGTGGTAAGCTGTGACTTACACACGTTTGTCTCTGTCTTTGCAAAAATTATTTGTTCAGCCTTTTATTTAGCCTACTAAGATAATGTTCATTGTCGAACAACTTCAAAATGGACTGATATTTAACATAATCATTTGCAGATCAAATACTGTACTTTTGGAGGTTATTTGTTTGTTTGTTTGTTCTGGTCAAGTCTGTCTTAAAGAAATGGACAACCCGGAGTGGAGTGGAAGCCTGGAGATTACAGAGCGCTTTGAAACTCTGTCACTCTGCTCCACTCACATATGCTGATCCAGACCAGTTTTAAGTCTTTACCTTTCTTTGGTGATACACAAAATATGATGCTTTGGGTCGAGAAGATAAACAGCTATAATTTGGCCAGTTTTTGTCTGATACATAAGGTAATTGATGTTAGGTCTGATACATAAGGTAATTGATGTTAGGTCTGATACATAAGGTAATTGATGTTAGGTCTGATACATAAGGTAATTGATGTTAGGGGGTGTGCCCGATGTGTGAATCCGTATTCAGAAAGGCACGGAAAACAAATAACGTTTGCTCACGGTTGCCTGTTACATTACAGTACTTAAAATTTCACTTACCACATAAACAGAGTTAGGAGAGATGACTGAGGACGATGGCGAATGATTTGCAGATTCTGAGCACCACTGACAAACATCTAATCTTGTAAAATGTTAGTACTGCCACTCCATAGTATAAACAGAGTACATGCGATCGCAAATCTCGAAAGTGAAACTAAAAAGCGATCGTGCATTCAAAAGCAGTTTTAATGCAATGCATAATATGATGCCTCCCTGATGCCTGCAATTTATATACAGTATAATTACCCAATTATAAAACTGCGAGAGAAAGTATTGAAATACATATTTTCCTTCCATGTCGTATTTATTACCTTTAGGGGTTCCGTATTACATGGCGGGGGGGAGGGGGAATCACAATGCCGACTCAACATCGTGATATCCATCAGCCATCGGCGATGGACGATGGCATCGTCTATCAGCCCAACCCTACTTTTTGAATCACATTGGCCAAATCCCAGCTGTGCTGATACTCAGTACAACAGCACAATTGTAAGTGATATTGCTTGGATAACCCATCACAATTCTGCTTTATGTAATTTGGGAATAACTATCACCAAACCACATAGATCCATAATAGCCAATGTAAAAGGATTGTGTTTCGGTGGATTTCATAATGTCTCGGCAGACAGAAACACATTAGTAAGCTTTCACACACATTTATAGATGATCCAACACTGTATATTTTGACATAGATGTTTCCCGTTAAAGTGGTGGTGAAAAAATGTGTTACTGAGACAGCAACAAAAGACGTGGTTTTTCACTGAACGTGTGGCGTCATCGCCTGGTTCTGACATGCCATTGTTTGCAATTCTACACAGATCCAGTAAGGAAATTATAATCATCAGTGCCAGTAAACCTGGAATATCCTTATTGTTAAGCCATAAAACAGAAATCACTCAGTGGATGTGTTTCGCCACCACATGCACTTCCTCTTTGTCAAAATATTTTGAATATTTCTAATACTTTTTCACAGGTATAAATATTATAACCACAAAACTAAAGCGTCAAGGAATTTTCTGTGAAATCACATTGACAGGCGAAAATCTCTTGTCTCCACATCTCAAGTGACTTTTGAATATCTTTTGCCGATTTAATTAAAATAACAGATAGGAGCTGGTATCTGCTTCTCATCCAAACTGTGTCATGAATTTTCTCATGAGTCTTTGACAGAGATCTGATTGCTTAGTCAGGAGAAGACGGGAGGCCCCCAGTGTATTTCACTTTCGGTTTTAGTTACTACTCAGAGTAGTGGCTTTTAACCTGGTGTCATTACTGGTACTGTATATGAGTATTTCTTTTACCGTAACTTGCTCGCTCAGATCAAAGAAATAAAAAGTTGAGCAAAGATGTGGTAGAATGGTCCACCCCAAGGGGTTCCTGTGTTGTTGTTCGTTGCGTTGGGGTTTTTAAAAAAAAATGTTTTATCATTTTTCCCATTTGTGAAGTGATGGAAATAATAATAAGAGCCATTATTAATCACCGAGTACCTATAATAATTGAGCATATTAATAATCAGCATATGGCTGCTGAAAATTCAACTTTGCTGAAGTCACAGGAATGAATTCATCACAGGAATGATTTACATTCTAAAATATACTCAAATAAAAAAGAAAAAGTTATTTTAAATAACTAAATAATAATATTTTATAATAATACAGTTTTGTCAAATAAATGAAGCCTTTATGAGCATTAAAAAAAAAACATAATTATTCCAAACGTCTGACCGGTAGTGTAAATCTGAATTCATCAATTGTACTGTTTCTAAGTATTTGCAGCATCTAATGATCATGCTATCCAGCGTGATTTCACAATACTATTTTTATTTTCACTGTAGTGTGGTACGTTGGCGTAAACAACGGTTGCCCCGTGCAACAGACTCTTATCTGTAATCAAAGCGATGACATCTCAGCAAACGTCGTCGTCTGTTGATGACGCGCGCGGGGTTTTCCGGGTGCGACGGTTTGAGATGTAGGCTAGCAGGCTAACCGAGAGTAACGTCAAAACACAGATACTACAGAAGAGTCAGAGGGCGGGAAGCGAACATGAAGGAGGTAAACGATTCATTTTACAAGGGGTGTTTCTGAAAGTGAAGTCGCCGTGATCTACATAGATTGATATAGCTAAAAATATAATGTCAACAACGCGGCCCCTCCTCGGGATGAAGCGAATCACCGAGGTAACCTGCACAGAGCCGCCGGGAGGCAGGCAGTCCCCGACCGCCAGCAGAACGCAGTCCGAGCCGCTCACCGTAGACGAGTTCACGGTACACGAGGACAAGCAAGCAGAGCTCAGATGCAGCAAACCGAAGGTCGAACAGGTTTTCCAAGTGACATTCACCATTATTGGGCTCTTGGATCACACAGGAGCCCACGGAAGTAAGGCTTCCAGACAGATCTGGCTCCAGCTGAAGGGAAAAAAGGAGGATGTGTCTAAAGCGAAGGTAAATGAAAGTAAATAGTAAAAAAACTAGTTTTATCTTAAACAATGTTGCTGCTTGTTTTTTGACTGTCAGAAGGAACATTGACGAACTTAACGTAACTTAAGTTGCAACGTTATAGCTGGAGGAAGCTGATGTCAGAATGAACTCAGCTGCGTCTGACAGCAGCATGCTTGTCTTTATTTGACATTTAAACAAAGGCCTGTGGTAAGCTGTGACTTACACACGTTTGTCTCTGTCTTTGCAAAAATTATTTGTTCAGTCTTTTATTTAGCCTACTAAGATAATGTTCATTGTCGAACAACTTCAAAATGGACTGATATTTAACATAATCATTTGCAGATCAAATACTGTACTTTTGGAGGTTATTTGTTTGTTTGTTTGTTCTGGTCAAGTCTGTCTTAAAGAAATGGACAACCCGGAGTGGAGTGGAAGCCTGGAGATTACAGAGCGCTTTGAAACTCTGTCACTCTGCTCCACTCACATATGCTGATCCAGACCAGTTTTAAGTCTTTACCTTTCTTTGGTGATACACAAAATATGATGCTTTGGGTCGAGAAGATAAACAGCTATAATTTGGCCAGTTTTTGTCTGATACATAAGGTAATTGATGTTAGGTCTGATACATAAGGTAATTGATGTTAGGGGGTGTGCCCGATGTGTGAATCCGTATTCAGAAAGGCACGGAAAACAAATAACGTTTGCTCACGGTTGCCTGTTACATTACAGTACTTAAAATTTCACTTACCACATAAACAGAGTTAGGAGAGATGACTGAGGACGATGGCGAATGATTTGCAGATTCTGAGCACCACTGACAAACATCTAATCTTGTAAAATGTTAGTACTGCCACTCCATAGTATAAACAGAGTACATGCGATCGCAAATCTCGAAAGTGAAACTAAAAAGCGATCGTGCATTCAAAAGCAGTTTTAATGCAATGCATAATATGATGCCTCCCTGATGCCTGCAATTTATATACAGTATAATTACCCAATTATAAAACTGCGAGAGAAAGTATTGAAATACATATTTTCCTTCCATGTCGTATTTATTACCTTTAGGGGTTCCGTATTACATGGCGGGGGGAGGGGGAATCACAATGCCGACTCAACATCGTGATATCCATCAGCCATCGGCGATGGACGATGGCATCGTCTATCAGCCCAACCCTACTTTTTGAATCACATTGGCCAAATCCCAGCTGTGCTGATACTCAGTACAACAGCACAATTGTAAGTGATATTGCTTGGATAACCCATCACAATTCTGCTTTATGTAATTTGGGAATAACTATCACCAAACCACATAGATCCATAATAGCCAATGTAAAAGGATTGTGTTTCGGTGGATTTCATAATGTCTCGGCAGACAGAAACACATTAGTAAGCTTTCACACACATTTATAGATGATCCAACACTGTATATTTTGACATAGATGTTTCCCGTTAAAGTGGTGGTGAAAAAATGTGTTACTGAGACAGCAACAAAAGACGTGGTTTTTCACTGAACGTGTGGCGTCATCGCCTGGTTCTGACATGCCATTGTTTGCAATTCTACACAGATCCAGTAAGGAAATTATAATCATCAGTGCCAGTAAACCTGGAATATCCTTATTGTTAAGCCATAAAACAGAAATCACTCAGTGGATGTGTTTCGCCACCACATGCACTTCCTCTTTGTCAAAATATTTTGAATATTTCTAATACTTTTTCACAGGTATAAATATTATAACCACAAAACTAAAGCGTCAAGGAATTTTCTGTGAAATCACATTGACAGGCGAAAATCTCTTGTCTCCACATCTCAAGTGACTTTTGAATATCTTTTGCCGATTTAATTAAAATAACAGATAGGAGCTGGTATCTGCTTCTCATCCAAACTGTGTCATGAATTTTCTCATGAGTCTTTGACAGAGATCTGATTGCTTAGTCAGGAGAAGACGGGAGGCCCCCAGTGTATTTCACTTTCGGTTTTAGTTACTACTCAGAGTAGTGGCTTTTAACCTGGTGTCATTACTGGTACTGTATATGAGTATTTCTTTTACCGTAACTTGCTCGCTCAGATCAAAGAAATAAAAAGTTGAGCAAAGATGTGGTAGAATGGTCCACCCCAAGGGGTTCCTGTGTTGTTGTTTCTTTCGAACTAGTAGGCTTACCCACTCACTCAAAGCCACTCAATCATGCCAGTATCATGTCTTTTAAGTTAAAGAAACTCCAGAGAAGCTTTTAAACTTTTTTTTAAACCATATTATAGTTTTTTTTTTTAAATACAGTACTTTTAGGGCTGGACAATTTGGGAAAATAAGGTTATTCTGATAAAAATAGTGATTACTATTTAAAATTTTATATATATATATAATTATTAAAATAAATAAAACTACTTATCAATATGCTATTAATGATACTTAAAGGGGTCATATAATGCGATCAAAAAGTAAATTTTTCCTTTCTCTTTGGAGTGTTACAAGCTCTTGGTGCATAAAGAAGATCTGTAAAGTTGCAAAGACTAAAGTCTCAAATCCAAAGAGATATTCTTTATAAAAGTTAAGAGTCAACCACTCCTACCTAAAACGGCTCGTTCTAGCCCGCCCCCACATATCTATGTCACGATGTGGGAAGATTTGCATAAAGCCGCCCAAATGTTCACGCAAAGAAGGAAGGCGTAACTTTTATACTCGCTGTAGTATTGTTGCTGCCGCCATGTCGAGACGCTGTGTGTTTCGTTGTGAAAGCGAAACTACTTTGTTTAGCCTTCCAAAAGAGGACGATATCTGCTTCGTCATGCCTAGAGCTGATCCGTGCTGGTCGCTGAGGGAATACATCAACTTCGCGCTGTGGATCGCCGGATCGGCTTTCACCGTGAACTAAGTGGAGTCCAGCCCGGGGTCGTCACATGTGGTTGCCGCAAACCCGGCCGCCATGCCGTTCTCAAGCCCACCGGCCGCCGCTCACTCTAGCCCGCCGTGTATGACGCTGTTTCGTTGTGAAAGCGAAACTACTTTGTTTGGCCTTCCAAAAGAGGACACAACTAGAAATCAGTGGTTAAGTTGTATTTACAACACTGTTCCAGAACAGTTAAACTAAAATATTCCAATATGTCCAGCGCATTTTATGGAGAACTGTTTCCTGATCCTGGAAGAGTAGACTACAATGCCTGTAAAGACTGTCACTCAATGACTGTAAGTACTTTTTTTATATTTAAAGAATTTGCCACTGACGATTCAAACGTGAGTTTTGAGCAGTGTAGAGTAGACATTTTTTCAGGATAAACACATTTCATTACACCAAATACACAAAATAATGTTCTTTTTAGCAGCATCATATGACCCCTTTAAGAAAGAATATAATACTTGTATAATATTGATATAATACTTTCGCTTATACTCAGTTTTGGAACATTGCGTAATGTAAAACATAGTAGCTCTGTGTGTCTACATTTGGGTGCGGCATCATGCTTGCTTACTTAGGTATGTATTCATTTCACACTTTCATTGATATGATAATGGGCATGTAGAATCTCCCTAGAAAGATGATGTAGCTCTTGGTCATTTGGTCCCTCAAGGCAAATCATATGTGCATTCTACTTTAAAATAATGAAACCAGTTTGACTTGTTTTTCTTCTGAGAATAATTATTCTAGAGTGGTATGCTTGTGTTGTCATGTTTTCCTGCTCCTTCTAGAAGTGAAAATCTTTCGCAATGTATGTATTGTAATCCAGTCCTGCTGTGATTGTTTTGCAGGAGTATGTGAAAGGCCTGTGTGACCCAGAGCTTCAGAAGGAGGAATGGTACCCGGTGGACATGCACTGCATTTTTGCTGGTGCTCGTGGACTCTTTTTAGACCGGCTGCTTAGAGACACAAGTGCAGAGGTCCAAGTACTGGAGCCGGGTCGTCTGAGGTTGAGCGGGTGCGCGGAGGCCGTCGTTATGGCTCAAAGTCGTGTTCAACAGTTTGTCGCTCTCTTTCAGGAGAAGCGAAGCTTGCCAGCTGATAGAGAGCCCTTGGTTAAGCGCACCTTTAAGAATTTTGTGGAGGACCGGGCTGATAAATATGCCATGGAGCTGCTTTTGCTCCCCAGTGCCCTCAAAGAGGAACTTTTGGGCTTGGCCCAAAGCCCCACACAGCCTATAGCTATCATAGACCTTGAGCAGGACCGCTCCCAGACTAGTACACCCGTAACAGACCTCTCCAACCGTATCCTGGACACCACTTTTGAGGATAAAACCGCAGCTCCTGCGACCACTCCTGATGTTATGCCCGGTCTAAACGGTCGGCCTTGCAACAAGCGTCGGTCCTCTGAAAGCGAGCAGAGGGACACTAAGAGGCAATACTCATTAGAGAGGAGAGAAGAGGAGCAGTTGGAAGAGCGACAGCGAGAGCCAAGCCAAACTTGGACAGTTACATCTGCGAAAGGGACACTAGCAGCTAGTGAATCGATAAATGAAAGTGAGGCAGTGAGTCCTGAGACTAACTTGCGCTGTCTTGTTAACTTCTTCCGAACCATGGGCTACCAGCAGGAGGTGGTGGAGCAGGTGGTGCGTGAGACGGGGCAGACAGAGGACACGTTTTTACTTCTGGAACAAATTGTTGAAGAGACTCAGAAGAGCCAGGGAGCACAGCGCACTTCTCGCACGCCCGACCCATCCCCCTGTGCAAACACCTCGTCCACCTCTACCTGCGTCAGGCTCAAAGAGAAGGAACGGGCACAGATGAGAGCTCTCGCAGAGATCAAGTGCAAAGAAAACATTAGACCTCCTAGCACTAACGGCATAGGTCAGAAGAACCAGACAAGCAGTGTGCCACTAGCTTCTACCACTCTTAAAAGAAACAATGGTGCACAGAATGATGTGTGTGAAGTGATCATCATTGATGACGATGATAACGACTTCACAGAGATAGAGAGGAAGCCCCGAATGGCTGCACTTGATTTGAAGTCAGAGTCCCGGTTTGACTACTTGCCCCGTGGTAGCTCTCACACAATGGTTCCAGTGCGGATGGAGAGTGTGACCAATCTCCGCAGCTCCTCTCAAGGCCCTCCTCTCCGGAGCACCGACACACGACCAGGATGCTCTTACCAGACGCTCCCTGGAAGGGCACCTTTACCTCGCTCTGAGGCACATAGCACCTCTAAACCAGCACCCCTCACCGGCATTTCTCGTTTCCAGCAGTCCCTGAGAACCCCCTACCGACTAGTCCTACAAAATGAACCGGGCTGCCCTGATCTGCGCCACATCATCATCGATGGGAGTAATGTGGCAATGGCGTAAGTCTCCATCAGATTGTATAATTTTGGGGGGCAGTGACAGTTCATGAACGTCAAAATTTTTAAAAACCGTAACAGCAAATTCGGTGTGCATTTAAAGCTGGAATAAACTGCAAAACTTTTGCCCAGATTTTTGTTCCAATTTGTAGCGTAGATGAGTTGATGTTAGTCGCTGAAAGTCACAGGCAGTCTGCAGATTTTGAGCAGTTGGAGTTTATCAATTTATAAATTTATAAATATAAATATAAATTTCCTCGATAAACGATAAATGTTCGATATATTGTTTATGCGGCAAAGGTGGAACGAAAGAGCGCTAGTCGTTTGAAGCGTGCCACTCGGAGCGTTTATCCGCTCGGATCAAAGTTCAAACAGGCGCAGCGCGAGCTTCACTAGAGCAGATGCGTTCACACGCTGATGAGTCTCACTCACGTCACACTAAACAGCGCTGTGAGATCCAGTGTGAAGCGCTTGAGTTCAGCGAGGAACACAAATAACTGTTTACAGCCAGATGATACAGCACTGACAAACAGCAGAAACACCGTGCACAACAATACAGTCAGAAGACTTTTTAATCTCCAAATCGCCATAATTTACCATGGATTTACTGTAGTAGCACTAACTGCACCATGGTATTGTGTCAGAAATGTGGGTATTCGTGTCGAATTTTATTATTATTAATGTAGACATGTATTAAATGTATTGAAGGAGGAGTAATGGAATATAATTACAGTATTTTTTTTGTGATTAAGCTATAGCGTTTATGCATTTATAAATGTATTTAGGCTACTGTTTTTAAAAAATACAAGCTACAAGCCATATTACATTTTTACCATGGTATTGAGGTGCTATATTTGTGGTTTTAACTGTGATTATCATGATCTAAATGTATGCTACTATGGAAGACCAATGGTTAAAAAAACACCTCAAACAGTCAGAATAATTAAATTTCACCATATAAAAATGAGATTGCTACAATTTTTACAGATATTACTGATTTTGATAATAAACATAAATCTACGTCTGCATCCTAACTCAAGCTACTATCAAATGTGTATTTCTAAGAGACATTAAAATATTATATGCCTATTATTAATATTATCAGGCAACACAAAGGCAGCTTGTTTCTTGATTTGAAACAATATTACTCATTACTAGAACATGCAGAACTAAGAAATTATTTGTTTCTGTTAAGATATTTATTTTAAGTAAAAATGACTGGAAAAGTATAAAATTCTAATTCAAAAACAAAGTGTTTGTCATGTTCTGACCATAAAGAATAGTTTAAAACCACAATTAACCATCTGGTTTTTACAACTTTCACATTGGAGCAAAAATCTGCCTTTTAAACTTGAAAGAAATAAAAATGTTACATTTATCATGATAATTATCAATATCGATTGATATGAAAATAAATATCGGGATAATTTTTTGGCCATATTGCCCAGCCCTAGTTGGAGTTGACAGATTTCACAGCAAATTGCATAGTGTATAGTGTGACTTTTTTGAGCTTTAGACTATGATTCCATCCAGTTTGCGAATACCAGATGTTTAATATTTTAGTTTGCTGTGTTCAGAACAATTTGAGGGTCATTGCTGAAAGTAGTTAGTGTAGTAGTGTGTGGTCCTCAACCATTTAGTTCATGATGCCCCAATTTTTCTTGGTAAACATATCCAAAGTCAGCAAGTGTATGATGCCTGGTGTTTTAAAATCTATTCAGATTTTAGTTGTGTAGTGTATTCCATCCTTTACTCATCCTCATTATTTTTGGTGATTTTATTTATTTGACATTAGCTTGCAATAACCATTTACACAAAAAACTAATTTTAATATTTCAAAAGTATCCCCACTCTGTCAGTTCCAAACTGTAATGGCAGCTTTGTCGATGAATAATCAGTATTTCTTTTTTTAGTTCTTTTTAGGGATGCACGATATATCGGCCACCATATCGGTATCGGCCCATATCGGCTCATTTTTTCTGTTATCGGTATCGGCCTGATAAGAAAATTTGGCCGATATCTTAAAGCCGATAAATAATGCATTATTTCCTTCTTGTTGTGTAAAATAAAAGTATGAGTACAACTCATTTGCTCTCATTCAATTTTATTATATATATTGGCATTTATAATGGGCATCAGCCACCCAGCTTTCTAGATTCCAGCCATTGAAAAGTTTTAGTTTAGTTGCTTGACAGCACAAGTTACTGTAAAACTCCCAAAGTTACAAAAAGGACCATAAATGTAGCCTATTGAACATCATTTGAAAGCGCACAAGTTTTGTGTGAAGAGCAGACTGAACTTTCTGTCAGTATCAACAACATTTTGGCCCGTTCCTCACACAGTCTATCATATAGGTTGAAGACTTGAAGGGGGCTTGACAGATCCTTGTCACTGCCACCTTCATTGTTTGAACATTTTGAACATTCTTCAAAATTTCTCTTTTGTGTTGCTTGGGAGAAGGAAAATCATGATGATCAGCAAATGATCTATCTATGCAATTCAGTATTTGGAGTTCAGCATTTGAATATTGCTTGTACTATGAAACCATTGTAAAGGACAGGTGTGATTGATGCTTTTTTTGGAGACAGTTTGAGGGAGTGAGAAAATGTTGGTGGTGTTGAGTGTGTAAGTGCCCATAAAGGTTAAAGTAAGTCACTTCCAGTAAGCTCTGTGTGTGTATATGAACTCTAGTATGCAAGTGTTTGTGTTTGAAAACCTAAAACCAAGTGCAACCCCCTTTTTCCTTTCTTCATAACAGTATCTGTCTTTCTCACCCACACATAAAAGGCAACCTCTTTTGTGGGTCTCTCCCCTTGTCAGCCCCCTATTTTGCCCTTTTAAATGGCTTACCGGAGGTGACTGCACTTCTTAGAAGTACTAGTATGGAAACTGAGGTGTTATACAGGGTTGAAAATAATATCTTTTTAGACCCTACTAGTGAAGTCTAATTGAGGAGAAAAAGGTATATCGTGGGATAAGGTGTCAGGTGGGATTTTTTTATACCATAAGACCTTTACCTCAACAAAATACGTGGGCATATACTAGAAAGATCTGAAACATAGTGTATTCTTGAGTTTTTAAGAATGCTTCCACTCAAATAATAGCAAGAGACTAAAGGGGTATGTGTAATGCGAAGGTTGTCATTAGCTACTCAAGAAAACAAAGTCATTTGGAAAGTTAAGGACTGTTGCAGAATGCTCATACCTCAACTAATTATACTATATTATCCATGCAGAGCACTGAACAGTCAGTCTATCACATGTTCAGCCAGTCTTGAAGGCAACAGCTCACACAGGGTTTCTCATGGCTGATTTGTATGCTTGCATGATATTTGAGATCTGAATCCTCAGGTGAAATCTTGTAGCCATAGCAACCCAAATATGTAGTTACCAAGAACCGCTGCCACAGCAGATAGGAAGGATGTCAATATCTTGCAGTTGAAGATGAAAGTCAATGTGAAGGAGAGGTCAAAGGTCATGGACTGAAACTGGTGCAGCGTATGTACAGTTCCTGATCCTGCTGTAATGATGTTGCTTTGGCCTGGCACGTATCCAGGATGTTGTTACACTTTCATTTCTCATTTCAATTTTCTCAGGTAGTATTGTTTTGAAAAGAAAGGTTCCTCACACCGATTTACTCCACGCACTTGTGCTACTTCTGACAACAGGACAAATGGATTTGATCATTTACATTGGAGCATCCAATGTTGCACACAGTGCAATGACGATTGTGCCCAGTGTAGTCACATGGTCAGTCTGTACTGACAGTCTACAGTCATTTCGGACAAAGGACTACCTTTACAGCTCAGTTCTTGAAGTCTCTTACCTGTCCTGTCAGTGCAAGATAATCAGGTCAGAGTCGACAGTCATTGGATAAGATCTTCATATGGACGAGTTAAGAGGTGAACCACATGGGTTTTTTATTTGGTGTTTTTTGTCAGAAATACAAGGGAGAAATTAAAGTTTTTTTTTGCATATTTAGCAATTTACATTTCCAGACTGGGAAAGTTATCTGACTTTTTACGTCAGCGGTCGTTGATTTAGTAACACTTCCTTTTTAAAATAACTTTCTCTCTTAGAGGGAACTTCCCCGTGACCCCTCTGTGGTTCAGTTTGTGTGTGTGTGTGGGGGGGGGGGGGGGGGGTGTTGACGGCTGCACATATGTATGCGTGTGTCATTTTGTCTAAGCGTTCTGAATGGATGGAGATGTGCATCTATTTTTGCACCCTTTTGCGTCAGTTGTGTCTAATCGAGATTTGGCGAGGTAGATTGCTAACCACTGTTCTCAAATGCATTTACATATGTACTTATCTCTCTATCAGTGGTATCAGATGCATTGTGAAATTGAATGCAGAGCTGTTTCCTGATCAAGCAAATTGATATTCAGTAGGGAACTTTTGTCTTTAGTTATTTAATCAGCCCTCTAGGTGAATTTAGTATGTTTGAATGTGAATGTATTACACCGCTTATACCTTTTACTGCATAAGGGAATATATTGTATACTGCCTAGTATTTAAAGATTGTGAAAACAGAATGCATTGATAAATGCTTAAAAAACAGCAGTTACACTGTTTCCAAATTTACTACATTTTAAACTGGCATCCATTTATCATCTTAGTAATGTAGAATTTGTATTCCAATTCTGTCAAATATGAGTCTAGAATGAGATTAAAAACAACTAGTGGTTTATTTGTGGCTGCACATCCATAAGTGGAAAGTCAAGTGGAAACATTGTGTTGCATTGTGGGCTACAGTATCCCCCACTCAGTGCACTACACGTTGACAAAAGCAGTGGGTCCTCCAAACCTTTCTTGTGCACAGAAAATGGTCATACAGTGCACAATGTATGTCTAGATACTGCCAAAATTGTATAAGTATTTTGATAGTATGCTGTTCCAAACTGGTTATGACCTTTGACCTCCCTATTTGCTCTCACTAGGCATGGACTCCATCGAATCTTTTCTTGTCGTGGGATCGCCATCGCTGTAGAGGCCTTCTGGCGCAGAGGCCACAGAGAAATCACTGTCTTTGTTCCTCAGTGGAGACAGAAAAAGGACCCCAACATCACTGGTAGGAGATCAAGTTACCTTCTGTCGTTAGATCAGCAATATAGATTTGGAGTCAAAATTAGATATATTACATATATTGTTACAGAACAACACTTTCTGAATCAGCTGGAAAACCTGCGACTCCTATCTTTCACCCCGTCTAGAGAAGTGTGTGGACAGAGAATTTCCTCCCATGATGACAGGTACAAGATCCAGCTGCTAAAATTATCATCTAGAATTTTTTCTGTCTGTTCCTCAGCACATTACTAGACAAAATTGTATTTAGCTTGTGGCTTAGATTCATTTGTGTATTGATTTTCAATAATGTTTCTGGAAATCTCACAAATGTATGTAAAATGTGTATAAAAGATGTCTACACACAAAATAGAGATGGGACACCGAAAAGTGCCATGTCCCATGCACACATCAGTTTACAAAAAATTAATTTAATGTAAATCGGCACAGACACAGCAAGTGGGTAGAATTGGAAAATCTGAGAACGTTGAGGATGAAATCTGCACAGTGTTTTGTACATGCCCTAGGTTTTTGTGTGCCCTGCTTGATCTATGACCTTCTTCACAGGTTCCTGCTTCATCTGGCTGAGAAGACAGGAGGGGTCATTGTCACCAATGACAACCTGAGGGACTTTGTGAACCAGTCAGAAGCGTGGAGAAGGATTATTCAGGAGAGGTAAGAAGAACAAGATGTCCAGAAGACCAGCAATAATTTTTTTCTAATGTTAATAACACACTACCATTCCAAAGATTGGGGTCAGTAAGAAAGAAATTATTACTTTTATTTAGCAGGGACATATTAAACTGATCTAAACTGACAGTGAAGACATTTAAAAAAAAAAACATTTACAAAAGTATATACTGTATATACTACATTACCAGTCAAAAGTTTTTGAACAGTAAGATTTTTATGTTTTTTTTTTTTATTTATTCTCTTCTACTCCCCAAGCAGAATACATTTATTTAATCCAAAATACAGCAAAAACAGGAATATTGTGAAATATTTTTACTATTTAAAATAACTGCTTTCTATTTGAATATATTTAAAAATGTAATTTACAGGGCTTAATGTTCTCTGGCACCATGCTGGATCTCTGTGCAGCGTTTGGCGGAGTAAAAAATAGTAATAGAAATAGAGTTCGCCTACTAATGGTATGAGAGGAGCACAGCTTTCACTCTCAACCAAACTAACATTACTAGCCAATCAGAAAGTTTTGCTCTTATAAACACGAGACGCGCATAATAGTATCCAATTGCGGAGTCGCAGCCCTGATGAATCGCGACAAAAAGCTGCGAGGCGCAATGGTCAAAGATGTACATCTAGCGCATATATACATAGAATAACTAATTAAAAAGCAGCGGAGCTTTGTAAACAGATGAGTAATCATGTCATCTCCATAAAACTATATGATTGCCAGAACAAATTTACCGGGATTTTTGAAAAGGTCCTGTTCACACATGATCTATTAATTTACCAGTACTGTATGTGTGAAAGGGGCTAAACTCTTCCTCTGCATATGCCATGAATTTGAATTGCTTAACATTCATCTGGAAAAGCAGTGTGCATTATCTCACTAGATTTGTAACGTAAATCATTTATAAAACTTTGCCAATACAGGAGAATACATCAACCTGTGTCTAAATATGCCATGTATTGTACATCGCGATTTCAAAATAAAAGTTTCTGCATGTGGCCAAATATTAAAATTAAATGGATTTAAAGAGGTCATACTGTGATGATGCCCTGTCAGGCCGGAGCGATGATTCAAAAACATGAAAACCCATTATAAACAAGGCATTCGTTGCATCCAGTGGGGACATAATTATGGATTATAATGACTTGTACTGTCTTTTTATGCATTGCGTTGCATCGCGCCGCGTAAACATAAAACCATGTCTGCATTTGTGATCGGAGAAATGACAAACAACAAGCCCTACTCTACACTGCCCAAAAAACTCGCTTTAAATACATAAAATATAAAAACTCTTTAAATATAAAAAACGTACTTACAGTCTTTGAGTCAGAACAGCCGGCATTGCAGTCTACTCTCCCAGGATCAGGAAACGGTCCTCCATAAAATGTGCTGCACACATCTGAATATTTGGGTTGAACTGTTCTGGAACAGTGTTGTAAATACAACTTAACCACTGATTTCTAGTCGTGTCCTCTTTTGGAAGGCCAAACAAAGTAGTTTTGCTTTCACAACGAAACACAGCGCCTTCACGACATGGCGGCGACAACAACGATACTACAGCGAAAATAAACGTTACGCCTTCTTTCTTTGCGTAAACATTTGGGTGGCGTTATGCAAATCTTCTCACATAGTGATGTAGATATGTGGGGGCGTGTTAGAACGAACCATTTTAGGTAGGTGTGGCTGACTCTTAACTTTTATAAAGAATATCTCTTTGGATTTGAGACTTTAGTCTTATTTAAAATAACTGCTTTCTATTTGAATATATTTAAAAATGTAATTTACAGGGCTTAATGTTCTCTGGCACCATGCTGGATCTCTGTGCAGCGTTTGGCGGAGTAAAAAATAGTAATAGAAATAGAGTTCGCCTACTAATGGTATGAGAGGAGCACAGCTTTCACTCTCAACCAAACTAACATTACTAGCCAATCAGAAAGTTTTGCTCTTATAAACACGAGACGCGCATAATAGTATCCAATTGCGGAGTCGCAGCCCTGATGAATCGCGACAAAAAGCTGCGAGGCGCAATGGTCAAAGATGTACATCTAGCGCATATATACATAGAATAACTAATTAAAAAGCAGCGGAGCTTTGTAAACAGATGAGTAATCATGTCATCTCCATAAAACTATATGATTGCCAGAACAAATTTACCGGGATTTTTGAAAAGGTCCTGTTCACACATGATCTATTAATTTACCAGTACTGTATGTGTGAAAGGGGCTAAACTCTTCCTCTGCATATGCCATGAATTTGAATTGCTTAACATTCATCTGGAAAAGCAGTGTGCATTATCTCACTAGATTTGTAACGTAAATCATTTATAAAACTTTGCCAATACAGGAGAATACATCAACCTGTGTCTAAATATGCCATGTATTGTACATCGCGATTTCAAAATAAAAGTTTCTGCATGTGGCCAAATATTAAAATTAAATGGATTTAAAGAGGTCATACTGTGATGATGCCCTGTCAGGCCGGAGCGATGATTCAAAAACATGAAAACCCATTATAAACAAGGCATTCGTTGCATCCAGTGGGGACATAATTATGGATTATAATGACTTGTACTGTCTTTTTATGCATTGCGTTGCATCGCGCCGCGTAAACATAAAACCATGTCTGCATTTGTGATCGGAGAAATGACAAACAACAAGCCCTACTCTACACTGCCCAAAAAACTCGCTTTAAATACATAAAATATAAAAACTCTTTAAATATAAAAAACGTACTTACAGTCTTTGAGTCAGAACAGCCGGCATTGCAGTCTACTCTCCCAGGATCAGGAAACGGTCCTCCATAAAATGTGCTGCACACATCTGAATATTTGGGTTGAACTGTTCTGGAACAGTGTTGTAAATACAACTTAACCACTGATTTCTAGTCGTGTCCTCTTTTGGAAGGCCAAACAAAGTAGTTTTGCTTTCACAACGAAACACAGCGCCTTCACGACATGGCGGCGACAACAACGATACTACAGCGAAAATAAACGTTACGCCTTCTTTCTTTGCGTAAACATTTGGGTGGCGTTATGCAAATCTTCTCACATAGTGATGTAGATATGTGGGGGCGTGTTAGAACGAACCATTTTAGGTAGGTGTGGCTGACTCTTAACTTTTATAAAGAATATCTCTTTGGATTTGAGACTTTAGTCTTTGCAACTTTACAGATCTTCTTTATGTACCAAGAGCTTGTAACACTCTGAAGAGAAAGGAAAAATTTTAATCACATCATATGACCCCTTTAAGGTTATGTTCATATTATGTATAGGCATATTGCATTATGTATTTTAACAGTGTTGTTCAATACAATCATGTAATTTCTTGGTTTTGATATTTTATTTGAGCCAATTATTATTGCCTCATCGTTAGTTTATATATAAATAGTCATACTAAAGCCTGGTTTTCACTTAGGTCTGTTTGTTACTAAAAAAATCAGTTTACTATAAATAATCAGTAGATTACTTGATTACCAAAATAACCATTAGTTACAGCCCTAGATTAGTTAAAATATTTCTAAATACAACTGCATTGTTTTACTTTTTGTAATTAAAAGACAAATATTTTTATTGAACATTTTTTTAAATAGTATTAAAATATTGCCACGTTTTAGTGAACCAAGTATCTGTATTTTGTCTCATCTCGTAAGCTGAGTGTATTGTCACACCCCTAGTGTCGATAAGCGGTGATATAGCTCATAATTTTCCATCATTACTCAAGTCTTCATTGTCACATTATCCATTAGAAATCATTCTAATATGCTTATTTCCTGTTCAAGAAAAAAAAAATCTGGATTCTTTGATGAATAAAAAAATCCAAAGATCCACAAATCAGAATATTACATTGGTTTCTGAAGGATCACAGCTTTGAAATCACAGGAATAAATGACATAATCAAATAGAAAACAGTTATTTATATAGTATAGTGTAGTATATATAGTATTTCAGATAAATGCTGGCTGTTCTTTTGAATGTTCTTAGAATGCACAGTTTCTAATAATAGAATGATTTCTGAAGGATCATGTGGCGTACAAGGCTGGAGTAATGATGTTGAAAATTCACTGGTATAACTTACATTTTAAAATGTATTAAAATATAAAACAGTTCTTTTAAACTATAATAATATTTTACAATTTTGAGGTTTTAATTGTTCATTGATCAAGTAAATGCAGCCTTTGGAGCGCAAGAGAATTGTTTCTAAAACAATAATAAAAAAATCTTACTGACACCATTACATGCTACCCCAGCACCGCAAAGTTTCTGTGATCAAAGCTAAATTTTCAGCATCATTACTCAAGTCTTCATTGTCACATTATCCATTAGAAATCATTCTAATATGCTTATTTCCTGTTCAAGAAAAAAAAAATCAGGATTCTTTGATGAATAAAAAAATCCAAAGATCCACAAATCAGAATATTACATTGGTTTCTGAAGGATCACAGCTTTGAAATCACAGGAATAAATGACATAATCAAATAGAAAACAGTTATTTATATAGTATAGTGTAGTATATATAGTATTTCAGATAAATGCTGGCTGTTCTTTTGAATGTTCTTAGAATGCACAGTTTCTAATAATAGAATGATTTCTGAAGGATCATGTGGCGTACAAGGCTGGAGTAATGATGTTGAAAATTCACTGGTATAACTTACATTTTAAAATGTATTAAAATATAAAACAGTTCTTTTAAACTATAATAATATTTTACAATTTTGAGGTTTTAATTGTTCATTGATCAAGTAAATGCAGCCTTTGGAGCGCAAGAGAATTGTTTCTAAAACAATAATAAAAAAATCTTACTGACACCAAATATTTAAACGGTAGTGTTTTGTGCTCAGTTAACATTTGTTCAGACTTAGAGCTCATTGTAGGGATTTTTCAGACTCTTACAGTTCACCTTTGTAGAAGATCACTTTATGATCCCAGATGACCCACTTGGAAAGAATGGACCTCACCTAGACGAGTTTCTATTGAATGACCGTCGGTGAGTTCCAAATTACACATTTTTGCTTAAAATAATACCCAGCAGTGGGTATCACACATTCCTAGCCTCATCTGTTACTCTAAGCAGAAGAAAGCTATCCCCTCATGACTTTTCTGTCCTCTCACAGAGGTAGTCCCATAATGGCCCCACCGAGAACAGACATTCGGGCAACCCCGTCAGTATATGCCTCGGCAGTGCAGTCCACAGCACATCCCTCTTCCCCTTCCCACTGGCCACACTCCGGACCTCCAGACTGGCACCTTCCTCGACCATCCCCTTCTCCACCTCCACAGCGGTCGCCCTCAGAAACCACAGAGCTCAAAAGGAAGTTGTACGACATCTTTCCTGACCAAAAACAACGTATCGACCGTATCCTCAGCGACAACCCATATATGAGGGACCTGAATGCTCTGTCTGGCCTTTTGCTGGGCTGACACACTTTTACACCCAAAACTGCAGTTTCCACCCTCTTGTGCATGGAGGTCACAGGACTTTTTGTATTATTAAAGAATACCATGATTGAAAAGTGCTGCTACAAGCTTTTGTTTGTTCAAGGGACTTTGTTCAAGCATTTATTTGTTCCGTCAGCTAATTTACATTGTGATATCCGGGGCCCTCCGATTGACTGCAAGCACAAAAAGTTATAAGTTATCAATTGTTTAAGCGCTTTAAATATATGAGAATGTACAGTCCAAATGGCATATAATTGATGTAAATATTTGTGATGAATAATCTTCCTTTGCTGTAAGTTATCCATTCAGAAATCTTTATTCTTAAAAGTGTTCCAGCTACAGAGTTGTTCTGAACTGGCTTTGCTTTAATTACTGCTGATGGACAATTTTGATTTGCAGTTTTTCAATAATTTCTGTTTTTGTAAATATTGACATTATTGAGCCAAATGAGTACTAGTTTCCAGTCACTCAAAGTGCCCAACTGAAGTGCCCTATTATCTGTTTTCAGGATAAAATTGCTCATTTCCTGTTCACTAATTTTAGTTCCCGTTAACTTTGGTGATGGTGACAAAATGGTGTGCTGTTTCAAGGAATCCCTGGAGACCCCCGTATCACCCAAGAGACTGTGTGAAACCGTTAGATGATTAAAAAAAAGTTTCCAGATTACTCAGTGAGCTGGCACGTCCCTTCTTCTGCCCTGTTGTGCAAGTCACCATCTTTTAATAGCAAACAGGAAACGAGAGCCGTCATTGATGTAAACCTTTGTCCCAGTTACGACCATCAGAGGGTGCTGTGGGATTGCTAGCGCTTACCAACCTCATTGTGTTAAGGAAGACATGAACAAAATGCAATGCATAGGTGAAATTCATTGTTTTCTGTTAGAGCATCTTATTCCCACTAAAGTGAATTTTCACTGTTATTGTTACTGCATCAGCCTTTCCCGGTCTCTGAAATATGTGTAGCGTTGGATATTGTGAGTGAATTGGAATTCAATTTTGGGAATAAAAATGCATAGGCGTTAAACCCACGGAAGCATCACAGACTCGGCAGGCACTGTGGGTATCTCACAGTATGGCTGCTGAAAACCTTTTTCTTTTTCTGGAAGGCAGTTTTAATAAAGGCCAATTATGTGTTTATCAGGACTTCTGTGGTCTGTGCTTGTTTTTTGGTCTCATTTTGACACATCAAAGAAAGTTAGAATGAACCATGGTTTCTGCAGGTCACAAAATTTCTTCACTTAATTTGACTTTTCACAAATTAAGACCTAAAAAGGTCTTAAATCAGAGCAGAAAGTCTTAAATTTATAGTCATGGCATTAAGGGGAGACACTGCAGGCAAAAACAAAACAAAAATTTTCATGCACATGTCAAGTTTGAGATTTTGGGCTTTTTGGTTTTTCATAAAGTCTTTTTCAGACTAGTGGAAAGAAAACATCCGAAAGACACTACGTGTTTCTTTTATAGCACTTTTATCTATTTGTGTCAATAGATTTCGATTAAAATACAAAACATTTTTAAAGGCCGTTTTCTCAAAATGAGTTTTTTTCTCCTACTCTGAGCCATAAATCTCCACTCGAGTAGCACTTACACACACCAAACTTTACATTGTTATTTCTGTTTGGATAAATCCATCAAGATTTTATGACAGCCACCATTATGTTTATATATAAAAAAACAAAATGAAGTAGAAATATTATGTAATTGTAACTTTATTATTTTAAAAACTTCATTGTGTAATTTTAACAAATCAGTCAATTTTTTTTTTTTTTTTTTGAGAAAATTTGGCGTGTACTGTACCTATGTTTAAGACATTATGCATATGGCATGAGCTCTCACTGTTTAAGAGCAGTGAGTTTTTTTACTTTTAATATGTTCCCTTTGTCCATTTGGTCTCTTTTTATCTGTATCTATTTAAATGGTATGTTTGTAATCAGGTTTAAGCATACAAATATTAGTCACTGTTTAGTCATGTCATGAGTGAAAAAGTGTTTGCGAAGAAAATAAGGGCTCGGCTGGGGAAGCCTTGGTAGCGCTCCCCAGATCTAAATAGTTCTGTTTCCCATCTGTTCCCAATCTGTCCCTTTTTCTGTCGAGCACAGCAAGAAAAATCTTTCTTTGTTCGGTCATGGGCAGGCGGTTCAAATGCTATCAACATTCCAGAAAAGCTCAGCATTCTCAGGAACAGGATTTTTCCTCCCCAGTTACTTGCTTCCCTAAACCTCCTGAAATTTCTACCATCTCCTTCTTTTTCTCACCCTTTAGTTGGATGGCATGCTTACATAACTTGTCAAAGTAATCCCTACCGGCCCTCCCCCACTGTCCTGTACCCACTGGTTTAAGCTCAACCAGCAACGATGGGACGGGAGCACTAATATCTGCTGGGATTATCAGTGAGGAAGCCATATAGCCTTTCATCTTTAACCGTAAGCATGCCAGCATAAGGATCTTACACATTGCACATAAAGGAAGCAAGACTGACTGAACAGAAGATCAGAAGAGATCAGCAAAGCATTCATAAGTCGCACAAGTATGCATGGAAACATTTGGTTCTGATAGACTTCATTGAATGGAGGCATTGTTAGCACAGATTATCATTAGCAGAGAGGCTGCAGTGATTTGGAGAATGTGGATAATGTTAGTTCCAGAGGAAAACATCATAGTCTAGATAGTTTGTGGTCATGGACTGTATCCAATTAAATTAAATTATATTTGCAAATAGAAAGTGCACAACATCAAATGTTGCCTGAGCGTTGAGGCCAGTTTCATCTTCAGTAGGCTGTACATACTTTTATTTTACTCAATAGGAGCCAAAATATCTCAGCATCTGCATCGTCTAGAATAGGGTTTGAATAATGTTTTATTTAAGAAAAATTATAGTTTATAAAATGTAAGAAATATTAAATATTTCAATAATATATCATTTAAAAAGGTATCATTTAGAAAAATTAGCTTTCTAATGCTGGTGTCTTGTATAAAACGTTGACAGGGTATCTGTGGGTTAAAAAAAAAGATACAGTACAAAGTGAACTTAAAAGTAAATATTTTCCATACAGTTTTATCATTTATTGTGTTAAAGGGTTAGTTCACCCAAAAATGAAAATTAGCCCATAAATTACTCACCCTCAAGTCATCCTAGGTGTATATGACTTTCTTCTTTCAGACGAATCCAGTCGGCGTTATATTAAAAATGATCTGTGATCTTTCAAGCTGTTTCTTGGCACTCAGCGGGTGTTGCATGCATCAGTCCAAAAGCACTTAATTAAAATGCGCCCATCCATTAAAAAAAGTGTCTCTAACGGCTCCCGGGGGTGAACAAAGGTCTTCTGTAGCGAATCGATGCATTTTTGTAAGAAAAATATCCATATTCAAAACGTAATAATCCCTTTAATGTAGCTTGCACTCACTGTTGTACACGGAAGCAGTTCCGGGCGGATGACGTTTGGAGGTTGGCTATTCGTATGCGCCTCTCAGAAGTGACGCACGTGGAAGCACAGGGGAGAGATCAAAACAAAACAACGATCACGAATTAGAAGTACAAAACAAGGATTTGTAAAGAAGAATGTCGGAGGATTTCAATATAAGTCAAGAGGAGATTGGATTTCCTTTGCTAAAGTAAGGAAACTTTGCTTCCTTTGCTCCTGTTAACAAACGTTGGTTTTCACGAGACTCACCGGCGCATGCGCAACACTGACCTCATACGTCATCCTCTCGGAGTTGCTTCCGTGTACAACAGTGAGCGCAAGCTACATTAAAGTGATTATTACGTTTTGAATATGGATATTTTTCTTACAAAAACGCATCGATTCGCTACAGTAGGCCTTTGTTCACACCCCCGACACTTTTTTTATGGATGGGCGCATTTTATTTAACTGCTTTTGGACTGATGCATGCAACACCCGCTGACTGACATTAAACAGCTTGAAAGATCAAAGACCATTTTTAATATAACTCCGACTGGATTCGTCTGAAAGAAGAAAGTCATATACACCTAGGAGAACTTGAGGGTGAGTAATTTATGGGCTAATTTTCATTTTTGGGGGTGAACTAACCCTTTAAGTCCTATGACAGTATGAAAGTCAATTATGTAATTTATGTCTTTATAATATATTTTTATATTTATAATATATTTTAAATGGTCAGTATAAATGACCTGTATTTTATGAATATAGTCCCTTGCTATGTTATTATAATATTTGAGGGTCCAGAAAGTTTGAGGGCTCCTGTTCTAGAGTAACTCCACTTACTACATTATGTCGCACACAAAAAAAATATTTTTATATAATGTGAAAAAGGAATGGCTACATTCAGGAGTTTGCTTCCAGGGCACTTTCAAGCAGTGATGTCGTGAGAGCAGGAGCACTCTGGGATTTTAACACACTGGGCCGCACTAAGGGAAAGAAAAATAGACTGTGACTAAATGCTGTTTTGAATCATCAGTGTGGCTCGGAGGGGCCACTCCCATTCCTCCATCTGCTGCAGAGCTTTAAACAATGATGTCATTTCCTCTCAGGGGCTGAGTTGGCAATTTTGGAAGCTTAAAAGAGCACAGGGCTAATTTACAGTAAGAGTGCTACTGTTCCATTTTACAGTCTAATCTAAGCATGTTAAAATATGCCTGTCATGTATCTCTAACAAATGACTCATAATTAGTAATTATTAATATACAACTACAGGTGTGTCTAGGTGATGTTTCATCTTTATTGACACATTTCCAGAGGTGTGTCTAGTCTGCAGTCATATAAACAATGATGGCACTTTTGTATTAGTAGTAGTTTTGGCTCTACTGACAGACATGCGTGTTCTTTTCCATTGCCATGATATGATCAGCACATTATACACTCACCTACTTTCAACACCTGTTTTACACAATTTAGGTAAATACAGTGACTGCCCATTACTGACTGCTAATATGATTCTGGTAATGTCTGACAGAGGCATGAATAATTTATTGTTTTCCTATCACCTGTAACTATGGAACAAACTGCATGCAAACATTTAAAATAATACACTATTGTGTGTGCGTATGGGATATTGAATGAATATGTTTATTTAAAGCATAGTAATGAATGGTGAATTCAGATACACTACTGAAGTCTTTCTTATGCTCACTAAGGCTAAAATGCTAATATTGTGAAATATTATTACAATTCAAAAAATATTATTTATTCCTTTGAAAGTGAAGCTGAATTTCCAGCAGCCATTATAGTCTTCATTGTCACAGGATCCTTCTAATATTATAAATGTCTTTACTGTCATTTTTGGTCATTTTTAATGTGTTCTTGCTTATTATAATAATAATAATTATTATTATTAATCTTTCCCCAAACTTTTGAATGGTAGTGTATCATAGTTTCTGAAGGATCATGTGACCCTGAAGAGTTTGAAAATACTGAAAACATACTGTAATTATTTAGCTGAATTTACCCAATATATAAATGATAAAAAAATCAATAACACCGAGTTACACCACAATGTTCTTGTGCTGTATTAAAGAAATGTGCTTCATGGTAACATTGTTTATTCAATGTACTGTATATTGTGTGTAAAAGGTGTGCAAACTTTTCCATGTCTCATAAAACAAACAGCACATGCTTTGGGATTGACTGCGATTTAAATGCACTAAACCACTCCGATCATGAGAACTGACACGTACAACAGTTTATAGTGGTCACCAGTAATACAATAGGACACCTAGCAGTACCCAGTGACAGGTAAAGGTATCTCAGTCAATTCTAGACGGGGAACTCTCAGGAGTCCTCCAGCAATAAATAATTTTAAAACTTTTAAGCAGACAGACAGTAAAAAAAATAGACTGACATGGGAAAATGAACTATTTGTTTAATTACAGCATGTCACAGACTATTTAAATCACTGACACACCTTTATTAAACACCGTGGTCTCATTGTTACCTATTATGCAATCCATTGAAATCCTGTACATTACACAAAGTCTTCTCAAGTCATCAACTATTTTGTTGATGTCCTCTTTTGAATAGGATGTTTTTTCTTTCTTTTTTTTTTGTTGCAGAACTGATAGGAATAATTTGTTCAAGAGTAAGTTTTGTCTACCTTTTGTTGGACAAAACTTAATAAAACAGTTTAGAATGACATGATCTAGGACCTTTATAGAATGCATAGGCGTCTAACTTGATTAAAGTAAATGGAATCAAATGTTGAACGAATCAGTGACCTAATATAGTTTTTTTTTAAATCAAGGACTGATGGGTCTATAGGTTTTTTAAAAGCAGAATAACAGCAATGTTACCAATAAAACGTGCTGTAAATATGGTGATTGTTTTATTAACATGTGAAACAGAGTTGGTTTTAATAAATTGTATTCTATATAAACAATCTAACCTTTTACCAGAGAAATGAAATTCACATGAAATGTAGTGGGCTATTGTAAATGCAAAGTATAGCCTATGTCGTTATCGTGAGCGGGATCTGGTCGCAACAGAACAATCACATATTAATAAAATCTAAAAATATAATAAAAAGCTACAGTAGCTGACATGGGAAAATGAACTATTTGTTTAATTACAGCATGTCACAGACTATTTAAATCACTGACACACCTTTATTAAACACGGTGGTCTCATTGTTACCTATTATGCAATCCATTGAAATCCTGTACATTACACAAAGTCTTCTCAAGTCATCAACTATTTTGTTGATGTCCTCTTTTGAATAGGATGTTTTTTCTTTCTTTTTTTTTTGTTGCAGAACTGATAGGAATAATTTGTTCAAGAGTAAGTTTTGTCTACCTTTTGTTGGACAAAACTTAATAAAACAGTTTAGAATGACATGATCTAGGACCTTTATAGAATGCATAGGCGTCTAACTTGATTAAAGTAAATGGAATCAAATGTTGAACGAATCAGTGACCTAATATAGTTTTTTTTTAAATCAAGGACTGATGGGTCTATAGGTTTTTTAAAAGCAGAATAACAGCAATGTTACAAATAAAACGTGCTGTAAATATGGTGATTGTTTTATTAACATGTGAAACAGAGTTGGTTTTAATAAATTGTATTCTATATAAACAATCTAACCTTTTACCAGAGAAATGAAATTCACATGAAAAGTAGTGGGCTATTGTAAATGCAAAGTATAGCCTATGTCGTTATCGTAGCGGGATCTGGTCGCAACAGAACAATCACATATTAATAAAATCTAAAAATATAATAAAAAGCTACAGTAGGCTTATGTATACATCTGGGTTTTGTTCGAACATTTTACACTACACTTGGGATGTCAGGGATCACGTTGCTTAAAAAAAGCGCTGAAACAGTTTTCTGAACCGGCTCTTTGGGATGAACTGTTCAAAAGATACGATTCGTGGAAACCATAACGGAGAAATGTCTCCGTGATGTCTCGTTCCCGCTCTCAGGGAACCGGCGTTACGATAGTAACCGAAGACGGTTTTCTCATCATCACTCGTCTGTTGTTGACCCAACGTTGTTCTCCTTCCCGCGTTCATGTGACTAAAGCGCGTTCACGCAGTCTTGTAGTGGCGCTCCCGTGAAAAATATATTTGCACAGCTTCAGTCAGTGCGCGACACCGAGACTGCCGGGCGACAGCAGCGGCTCCTTTTAGCGAATGTGGAAACACAAACATCCCGACAGTTAACGGACGTATTAACCTAACGCGGACCTACGTGTAGTGGATTCTTTTTTAATTGTTCCGTTTGGCAGCAGAAGGATATTTTTTTTCTGGAGGTAAGTGCAGTGTTTAAATCCCACATTCGAGGATAATGGCTCTGTTGTTGATTTTACTAGGCTTAGCGTGCTAGCTAGCTCAAAAGCGGCTAGCCGACCGTGCTATCAACCCTTTTGCCGTGTTCCTCATCAAAACATATTGTGTGTGACCCATTTTTTTTCTGCTAACACGTTACGAGTCCTGGTGTGGTTCGTAACCAGTCACTTTTTTTTTTTATTCTACCAAGCGCTGAGATTTGGTCCATGTAGCCCCATTATTAGCCCGGCTTTACTAGCTTTCTATGCTTATGTTAAGCGATACACACTGTTTATGTAATGAAATGAAATATAACCATTGCAGTGTTTTCTAATTGTAATAGTAGGTTGCATAGATGCAGACACACCATTTGTGTTCATTCTTTTAGTCCCAAGCTTGAGGCCTCGTTAATTGACATTGAATCGTATTAATTGAATGACATGGAATCTGTGTTAATCTCAACATGCAAAGTGCCGTGCAAAAGCAGCCTGGCGTAATAAATGTGTTATATACACAGACAGCGTTAGCTGGGTCAGCATGTGATCTAGTAACCTTTTTATCACTGTTATGGTCAATATAATCTGTAATGATGATGATTTAGAAATCAGTCATAAAGAAAGCATGCACAAAGCTAGCCGTCAACCGACCCTTGTTTTGGAGTCTCTAGTTTACACGACTCTCTCAGACTCAAGATGCTACGGTAAAATCGTGTTCATGTAATTGCTTTGAGACCTAAAGAAGCTTAATGTCACGAATGCCCGTGTCTCTGCTACACATGGGATTTATTTTAAGCTTCCGCGCTCTCAGACGCCTTGAACTTGGCAGCTCGATCACAGCACTCCGTTTTGTTTACAAAGCAGCTACGATTTGCCATGGAGATGTTGCATCTTTGTTGCGAGTCTGAATTGAGCTGTACTGTTTTTGTTGTTCTTTATCCTTAAAGATCCATTTAAGCACCTCCCCTATCGATTACCGTAATTGAGGTTAAGTTGCAGCTGGTTGAAGCAATCGTTAGATAGGATCGGGTCAAATCCCTTCTGTAACTAACCTTATTCTTCTATCAAGGTAAGGTTGTTGTAAATACTGGAGTGTTGCCACAGACTTGATATTTTCCTACTTTTTTTAACAGCTAACCTGCATCTATCTGAGATGTCTTATTTGCCCGTAGACATTTCTATTGGTTTGATGGAAATGCCTGGAAGGCATAAGGTTAAAAATGCATAAACCCTTCTACTTTGGCTTTGGGACACATTAGATTTGTGTTTCTGTGTGTCCAGGTACTTGAAAATGCAATCCTCCTCTTTTATTCTCCCCACACACCTCGGCAGTGATCATGTTATGGAGCATTCTTGTAAAATAATTGCCTTATGCATTTATTTTTGCATTCTAAATGAGTCTCCCTATTCAATAGTATTTATTTGTTTATTTATTGGTATTTATAATGCCTACCTTTAACTAGGGCTGGGCAATATAGCAAAAAAATATCAACGATATAATGTTTCATATCGTTCTGTATCGATAATCATTGACATTTTTTATAACCTTTTATTAAAACAAAAAGCAATAGCAAAAATGTTTAAATTTAACCACTGTATTTATAATTAACACAATTTATTGAGACAAACAACAAATATTTTTTGCTTTAACAATCCAACACATTAAAAATTAAACCAATATCTAATTTCTAATGTTTTATAGGATTGAATAGGTCTTTATTGTATATGTCTAATTGTCTCCCGAGGCCACAGGAGGGCGCAATGAGCAAAATAATGCAGCGCATTTAAATTGCCAACGCAAGGAAGTAACTCTATAAAAACGTGCATTACGTCTAAATTAACTCATAAAAATGTAATATTTCGTAAATTGCATAAACAATTATGAACAAAACAGCATCATGTTTTTATTAGGGGTGGAACGGTTTGTGGAAAAAAAACGAACCGTACGGTTCGGCACGCACTAGGACCGCGGTTCAACTTAAATCTGACAACGCATCTGTAATTTGGTTTGCTATAAATAACACGTAAAACAAACAGGGTTCGGCTAATATATGTTTCTGTTGATGAATGCGCATTCTCGCTTCCCGATACAGCACAACAACAGCGATGGGGGGGAAAAAAACGTGGACAAACCATTCACTCTTGTTCAATGCGACTGCCGTATGCTGAAATATGAGCATTTATTCCGTCATCACCCAGGTGCTGATAGCGCAAGCACACGTTGATATCTGTGTTTAAGATAAACTCATTTAAGCTTTGCCAGTTTAAACATTTACGAGCCAGTCTCAGCCAGAGGACGCGAGCTCGTGTGTGCAGTTAGAAGATTTATGCGTGTGTTCATCCGAAGAGTGCAAACCCGTGCCTCAGAACACGCGCAAGTATTAATCTCTCTCTGAAGTATTATGTTTAAATGGACAAATTCGCACAAAAATTATGTCAAAATGCCCATCTTGGTAAGTATACTATAGCAGACATAGCCAGCTGAACGTACTGTATCAGTGCATTCTCTTAAAGTGACAGCACTTTCTTAATATTAATCAAATGGTAACTACAAATAAATCACTCACTGCTCTTGATTGAATAGCTTTTGTAACTTTAATAAAGATTAATCTTTCAAATATGCAATGCTGTTTTACATTTTGTTACTTTATTCAATTTCTGTACCTAAAAACTAATGTTAGACCTACCTAAAAAAAACTGAAAATCACAGTTTATTTTATTTGTATCTTTACTCTATTGTATTTATTTGTGCTGTTGCTTGTAGTTAGATTGTTCTTATTTTCTTTATTTTTATTTGACAGTATATTTTTTTCCTAAACATAGCACATATCGAACCATACCGAAACTGTGATACGAACCGAACCGTGAGTAAGTTGAAACGTTCCAACCCTAATATATATGCATTACTTAATCCAAAGTGCCGAAGCGCCATTCACACAGACTGCCATTCAAACATATGAGACACAGTGAAAAGGAATAAACCTCCACAAATTCGTGACGCGTATTCTAAAAGTTATTAACTGTTTTAACTTTGCATGGCTTTCTATTAGGGGCTGGACGATATATCGCATGCGATATTTAATGTGCATCTTATCAGTAAAGCCGGTTCTGTAATCAGCGGTAAATCTCCATCACGTGCGTGCTTTCACATTGTGCAGCATTAACTACACAGAGCCGTTGTTCACTGACGAGCTGCGCAAAACCACGTTCATATTTGCACAATTTTTTTTGCGCAGCTTGTCAGTGAACAACATTTCTGTGTAGTTAATGCTGCTCAATGTGAAAGCACACAGGTGATGGAGATTTACAGCTGATTACAGAACCGGCTTTACTGATAAGATGCACGTTAAATATCGCATGCGATTTATCGTGCAGCCCTACTTTCTATACATCTCTTCTGTGAGACGTGAGTGCAGCAGTCATATTTGTCAGTCTAAAAAATCCACTGAATATGCGTTCTGTGTGAATGGCTTGGTTTCGGTTTTAACCCATTCAAGATCTTCTCCGCATTGAGCTTCTATATTTCTCTAATATTTTGAATGAATAACGCAGCAGCGGCGCGTCTCGTGGGCTACACTAACAAAACATTAAAATGCAACAACGTCACTTACAACATCCCCGCATCTCGCGTGCCACTGCTGACGCTCCCTGATGCACACCTAACATTCTAATGCAAATGTTTATTTTAAATTCGACTAATATTCATTCTTTATTTACAATCTCCTCATCACAGGCAGGCACAGCACTCATTTCAGCATGTGTTTGTGTGTGCTGTCTGCGTCACTCATAGTACGTGCCTATATCGTGCGCTATATCGAAAATTTTTTCTATCGATATCGAAGAAGGTGTACCGTCGATAAATATCGATAACATTTTATCTCCCAGGCCTACCTTTAACATATGTTGACTTGCGAGACATCTGTTCCTTTGAAATGGCATTGGTGGGTGTTATTCTATATTGGTGGTCCCTATATTACCATAAAACGAGGAAAAGTGTAAATGTTGGTTAAAAAAATTAAACCATTTATCCTCTTAAATCTACTTAGTGCTGTGTTGTGAAACTAAATATTTGCCTAAAAAAACATGTGGTTGTCGGGACATTTGGATCATTTCAATCAATGTCTGGAGTCATTTTATTGTGACTCTTATGTTTTCAACCTGTTTTTGTGGGGCAGCTGCACACACTTGGTCAGCCAAACTTGGTTGCCCCCCACAGAAACGGCATCTGTCTTTTAGAGTTAGACTCCACAGCTTCAGGGTAATGGTGAGGTAACCTGAGCCTGTTTAGAATAGCTGAAACAGGAGTATAGAGCAGGGATAGACCATTTCACACTCTCTGGTCCATTGCATCTCTCATCTCTTATACTTGCGCACACACAACACTGTTCTCTTTACCCCCTTGTGCCACCAATATGTCTCCTGCATAATCGCTACAGGATCATAATTCTGGTCGACCATCTGTCTAAGTGAAGCAGACAAGCAGCCTGAATGTTTATGTTGTGTACATTCATGGAGGTGGGTGGATTCAGTCATCCCACTGCATTTCAGTATTCTTTCTCCTTGACGACAATCATTTGCACATTTCTATCTTAGCATGTTTTGGATTAATTTGTTGCAGTTACGTCTAATAATTGTGCTTTTGTTCATTTAAATAGTGTTATTGTTATTGGCCAACGAGATTTGCTTGGGTCTGAGATTCTGCTTTGCAAAAGAGCAGAGAACATGCTGAGGTTTTTAGTTTGTGTCATTTATTCATCTGATGTGCAGTGTCTAAGACTATTCAAAGTATGCTCTTCAGCATGTGGAATAGGCACACAATAATTGGCAAGGATCTGACATTTGTGGCCTGTGAAGATGATTGGCAGCTTTTGAATTTTGACACTGAACAGAGACTCAAACCCTCTTACATAAATGTAAATGACAACACAAATGCAGTAAAAGCCTCATTTTTTGTTTTGGGTGCCCACGGCAATTGAATGGTTATAGCT